TACTTTTCTGCTTTTTTAACTGTGCACACGTACATTACCAACACATGCACAGACTCCTGTGGCAGCTCAGTAGTAGAGTTGTTTGGGAATTTAACCAATAGCCAGGGTCTGTGCACAAACTATGACAGCCATGCTTATCATAACAATGACTTTTACTTACTTAAATCAGTTATGACTATTTTTTAATTTGATCATTTGAGCATTAAAAATAGGCTTCTTACTTCAATTACAGTAATGCAACTTTCAAGCCCATAAAACTTACAGTCATTGCACCACCTGTTGGAATCAAAGTTTTGCAGTTGAGTTAGTGACTGTTTGCCATGTTGTTTAAAGAAAGGGAAAAAACTAACCAATGGTGAAGTATGAGTGTTTCTCTGGATGGCCTGACTTGTTCTTTCATAAGTCTGTTTTCTCCATTTAGAAATACAAAATGTCACAGTGTGGTATTTTATTTCCCAGTGTAGAAAGGTGTTCTCTATTGTGTTGAGGAATCAGGACTGCATTTCCCCATAGGGGCTATTCCACTTGAATTTCAGCCACTTTTAGAGGACTTTGGGGCATTAGAATGCATATACTGCACTGAAGAACTGCTAGGATTTTGGTGGGATTTTTGTTTTACAGAATAACGAACTAATTAAAAGAGGCTAAGATTCAATTCAGCATCAAAGTCATATGCACCTTCTGTGATCTAACAAATATGCCCAGACCTAAAAACCCTTACCATCTCTAATGGAGATCTTTGGTGGCTCCCAGGAAAGTGGCCCCTATTATACATTTAATGGTCTCTAAATAAATGACACTGGTTAGGGAATGAGGGAGAGTTTGAGGCTAGTAGCACAATATTTTTCTCTGTGCTTTCCTTCTCCTTTGCCTCACTCAGTTTACAATGAAATTTAGCCACTGACTCTCACCACTGTTTTTCTTGGAGAGAAGAGTAGGATGAAGAAACATAGTGATTAAATGTAAAAGCCAACCATACATTGCATTAGGAGCTGCATTCCATGTGTTTTGGTAACAGGAACTACAGGAAAGAATAAAAAGAGGTGATTAGAGCTACCTAATCTTTAAAGTCTGAAGCCATTCTCAATTCCTACCATCTCTACCTCTGCCGCACATAAAAATACAGACCTTGATAGTCAAACAGGTTTTTTTTTAAGCTCTTTTAGTTCCAAATGGTAACACTACTGCCATGACACTCTTATTTAACATTTGTTACACTCCCATGTGTTGAACACATGGCTAGAGGCTCTTCCAACCATCAGAATTCATGTAATCGCAGCAAAGCAGTTGGCATCATAAATAAAGCGAACATGAGAACTGAAAGTACACGCTTCCTTCTCATGGCAAATTAGGATGATGAACTGGAGTTCAATGCCACTCTTCACCTAACAGCAAAAGGCTCGAGCATGGTAGATGTGGACCATGAATGTACTTGGAAAATGGTTCATTTGAGCATTTCGCTCTGTTGTATATGAAAATCTTGGCTTAGGACCCACTCCTGTGCTAGTCAGCTACATTTGTGATTCATGGGGCCCTTCACCTACATTTCCTTTTAGTTTTTATATAGCCTGCATGTAAGCCACTCACTGTCAGTGGCTGAACCCTTCAAGGGAACTTGTCTTTGCTCATGCTTGGATTCTGTCATTGACTCTAGGCACCACAAACAGGCAGACCTTTTAAGGGACACAATAATTCTTTATTTAAAAAGACAACTTCTTATTTGAGATAATTCCTGAATATAATTCTTTTTTAACTGTATTGAAGGTAATTGCATGTCTTCAAACAAAATTAATTTTTAAGTGTATGCATATGTATCCATGTGGCAATGGAGTCAATATGTTCTTTTTGGTTTTTATTGTTGATGTCTTTCCTTTAGGGCATATTGGATTGCCCTCTTATTTGTATCAAGCATGGCAGAAATACAGTTCAATCTAATTGTCAATTCCATTAGCCTGAAACCTTGGATTTAGGTGTCTCAAAATGGGAGATAACGTCCTCTCTTTCCCTGATGGTCCTGATAGTTTCTGACTTGGATGAAGAGGTACCTTAAATCTTACCTCTAGCACACTTAGTTAATAAAATAGTGAACATACTCATTTCCCCTGTGGATCACACGAAACTGTACTTTCCTTAGACATTTCCAATTTTTGTGGGGTTGTGGTATCATCTTCTGAATCCTTCTACCTTCCCCTTCTCCTTCCATAAATCTAAGAGTGTGACTTTGACTGAAAAGTTATCTTTGAACTCTTTGTTCTATAGATCCAGACATTGCTGATTTGTGTATATATAAAAAAGAAGTAATTGCATAAAACTTCTATCACATTGCAAGTGTTACAGCATTACAAATAAGGTTAGAGTTGGTTTAGTGAGCTTACCAGCAAACAGGGCAGAAGATTCCAAGTTTGTTTTGGGTTGATGTTATTACTGGCTTTTTCCGACAAATGTAAATGTTCAAAAATTATTTTTTTGTACAGCAGGAAAATGAAAACAAAGTCTTTTCAACACTTCCACAAAGCTACTGGTTAGAGACCTGGTCTGAGGGCATGGACTCAAGTCTCCTCTTCATCATCAAAAACATACCTGTCTTCATCCTCAGCTACCGACATTTTGAAACAAAGGGGCTTGAGTGATACTTTTTCCACAACAAAGCCAAAAACTTAATTGACTTAGTAGTCATATTTCTGCCTGTGCCTTTCTTCAGTTTAACAGATGAAGATTCTTTTCATCATATTTTCATAAAATAAGCTTTAGATCAGCTTTACTTGCAATCCTGCAAGTGAGTCTTGGGACTCTGACATCAGATTCCTGGAACTATTTCCAAGTTTCTTTGGATTGCTCACGAGTTGCTGAATAGATCAGCAACGCAGTTTTGTTAGGTGAATGCAAATGTGCCAATATATAGAAGCATATCACTATTTCCCCTCCTTAGTAATTCACTAAGCATTTTTATATTACTTTCTTCTGTGGGTTAACATATTTATATTCTTCACTAGTAAGTTTATTATCAGACTATATTATCTTTTAAAAAAAGTGCATGTTAGTGTGTGTGTGTGTGTGCATACAAACATTGCACCCCCAGAGTAAGTTTTGTGTCACAAATCAAATACTATAATATGATCAGTTACATGGTGCTTTTTTTAAACGAGGGTAATAAATACTAGACAAAATCAATGTTGCATGGCAATACACTTTATTTTGTATAGCTTCTTTCAAGGACATTGTGTCTCGAATACATTAGAGGTAATCAATACAGTTGCGAATTTTAAAATACTCTAAAAAGGTTTTAATTTAATGAAAATTCTAAACAACAGTATCAATAGACATGCTTCTTAATTCACATGCATCGTAAATGTAAAAGGGCAATCACACCTGGAAGAGCTGTGCAGCTATTTAGATTCTTTATCTATTGGTTTGGTGAAGTGAGCTCTTAGTGAGGGGGATAGTTGCTATCTTTACTCAGTGACTCTGAAAGATGATTCCTAATAAAAACTCCATATACATGTTAGGACTCTTGTTGGAGAAGTAGAAGGGACAAGGGGTTTTCTTTTTGCTTGTTTTTTCATTTTTTTTTTAAATCAACATGGGACTACCAATCCCAGTACAGTAAGACAGCTCTAGTATGAAACTCAAATTAGAATAATGAATCTCATTATCACAGTGTAAGAGCTATATTTTATTAAAATTTCACAATAGTGCTATTGAGACTTCTTGGTGAAACACTCAAGCTGCCCGATGGACTCAGCAGACAGCTGCTCTCCACCATGCATTTGACTTCTTCCAGCACACAATTCCTATAAGACACACTGTTTTGTGCAATCTAAAGGGTTTTGGGTTTTTTTTGTTTGCATTTAGAGACAAAAATCACCTCTGAATTTTGATATTTTTCCTTTGCCTGCGCTGTGCAGATCTATCATACACAGGAGGACAGCTCCTCCTCTAGCCCCACCCAGGTCACAGGCAGAATCCAAAGATTCCTGTTCTGGCCAGTTTGCTGTTCTGGATTATCACATCATCCCCAGAAAGGGTGTAGTGGCCTAAAGCATTTCAAGAAATTAGATGTGAGATCACTAGTACTATTAAGCAAACAATGCTTCTTTGCCCCTCTGTTTTTAAGCCCACTATTTACCATACATACCTCCTTTTCCTATGTATTGGTCCTTACTAAGAGCTTAAAAAATGGAATTAATTGCCATTATGGTTGTTTCATTTTTGTGATTAAAATGGATTTTATTGGAGCTAATAAGGACAGAGCTATATATATAAGTATGGCCAGTCTTCGTGAACGAAGATTTTGGGACAGGTTTTTTACCTTTCGAGCCTGTGCAATGGATTTTTTAGGGGAGACACAGCATGTGCTGAACTGAGCCCACCCTTTAATCCTAAGGTTCATCTGCCGGGGCCAAGCGAGCTTGGACAATGGCAGTGAGGTCCTCAGGACGTAGGTTTGTTTAGAGTGACCTTCTCATAGATGGATGGCCTCACAGGGCTGACGAGCTCCATCTGCCTGGGGGAGTATCCCTGACCGGGAATCAAACCTGGGCCACGGCGGTGAGAGCGCCGCATCCTAACCACTAGACCACCAGGGGTCCCACTATATATATATATATATATATACACACTTTATATATATATATATAAAAATACATATACAGCATATATATACTTTTTGCTGGTTTTGGAGACAACCTTTGCAAGTTTGCAACTCTCAATACCTGGCTGAAGACTAAGCAGGAGTACAGATAAAAAGAGTAGACTTAAGGAGCAGAGATTACAAGTTCTGTCACAGGAATTGCTCCCATCCTATTCCATCCAGTGGGAGGCAGCTCTGTGATTCATAGAAATTCCTCAATTTTGTGTCATGTGTGAATATAAACCCCACTGCATTACATACTATTTAGTCTTCTCTTCCAGATTTTTTTAAAAAAGGACCTATGATGAAAGACATGATAGTTCATCCTAAAATGTCACACAGTTTTACAATCTACCCATAAATGACATGAGAGGGCCAACTCTCTACATACATAACTTATCACCAAGTGGTAGGACAAAAAAAGCAAATGCTATTGACAGTCATATTTGTGCCATCCTGTTAACTTTAATCTTGTTAGCTAGGAACTTTAGTTTCTTATCTGTTTTTTATCTAAGGGGTCATCATTATTTTACTGTGTTTTTCTGTAGGATGGGAAAGGAAACTACTTCTTTTTCCACAGACTTCAAGTTCAAAGCTGTAAATTAAGGCTCTTTTCCATAATTCCAATGCTCCGTGCACATGGCTTTAAATATTCAGATGTATTCTGAAAATAAAAAATTTTAGGTAATTTTATATTCTCCTCTTTCAGAAAGGGAGAACTGTGGAATATAAAGTTCTTCAATCTCCTAGGGGCAAAAAGGCAATTTAAGCTTCCCGGAACAACTTTAAGAGCAATGATAGCTGCCAGTGTTATTAGAGTAGCATAATTTTTCAGAAGATCAACTGTAACGACCTTCATAACCTGGATTTAGATTCAGAGGTTGTTGATATAACCTTATTAACACAGACAAATGTCTCCATCTTCATTTATAATATCCCCTGGAAGCATAATTTAAGAACACTATAATGCACAAATTCCACTGTTACTAAGACAAAGAACAGTGGGGGAGATTCCACATAACAGTTTTGTTGATAAAGAAGAAAGATGTGCAAGTGTTCAGGAAAGTTAAGGAATGATTAAAACTAACAGAAAAATATTCCAGTGAATAGAGTCAAAAAGCAGTTCTTTAATTTTTAAATTTGCACAGCAATAACAGAGACAAATGAGCCACTGAAATATTTTGGAAATGTCACTTTGCAAACCTTGTAGATTGCTTAAATGTTTATTAAAATGACCAAAAGCCAAAATTCTCTGGTAAAATAAATACTTTGTCTTTGCTAAGTAACAATATTTGCGAACAAAACATAAAACTGTAATTTTCATGTGTCAAACATAGTAACATTTAAGATTAAATGCTGGAGTCAGATTGGGCATTTTTTTCATCTTCCTATTTACAAGCTGCTCATTAGGACCATTTACCTCACGTTAGCTATTAAAATGACTAACATTTTTAAAGTTTGCTCCATGACTAAAATAAAAACAACAGAAATGTCCTTTTACCGTAACTTAACAAAAAGCAGAACCATATTTTTGTTATCTAGAACATACTGTTATACATACAGCTGTTTTTCATCTACAGTCGTATAAATAATAAGCATGCTGCCATTCACAAGGATTTTCATAGATGATTATATATAAGCAATATTACAATCTAGCAGGGGATGGCATGAGTTTTTATCTTTCGTTTTTACTGTACTTATTCAGGACCTTTGTCTTCATCCGAAAATTGTGGAACAGACTTCTTTGCTACAACATTATCCAGTCGCTGTCCTTGCAGATAGGGGTTCACACTCTGAAAAAGTGATTTAAACTTATTAGAAACAGGGAAACATATAAAAGGTAACTAGGATTAGTAAATGTATTTATGCATTTCTTATCTGTCAAACACTTGCTTCCAGAGATTAAATCTAAAAGCCAATCACTGTTTTGTTTCTACAATTTTTTTTGGTGAAAGAATTTAATTCAATCCACTGAAAGGAGTATAAGTGGAGGAGGACTTGCAAGAATACAGGACAATCTGAATTAAACACTGCCTTTTTGCTCCATTCCCCCTTTCCCCAGCTCAGCAGAGAAACCACATGAGACCTAACTACCTAATTCTTGAGGCAGGACAGAACTTGCTAGAGAAGTACAGGTAAGCTTTAGATTAAATTACTAGATGCTGATGGACATTATGCTGAGAGACAAGTTAGAGACCACCAAATCGTTTTGACCACAGTCTCTTCTTCAGCCCATCTCCTCTCCAGGAAACCCCTCCTTGCTTCCTCTCTTGATGCTGAGATAAAATAACTGCTGGCACAGAAGCAGAGCCAAGCAAGGTTTTGGCATACAAAATGGCTCTCATACCACTGCCAGAACAAGGGAATGCTGGAAAGAAGATCCCTGGAGAGGGTTTAACTTCACTTTGCACTATGCAAGCAGCACAATGTGAGGCTGAAGATGAACAGATCCTGTCTCAAAACTGTTTGGAGATTGCAGATGAAGTAACATCGAAAGCCTATGCTCAAATTTTATCTATATCAATGTAATAAAATGTATTTATTCTATTTACAAATAGCAAGCAGTTTAGTGGCACTTCAGTATTAAATATCATTTACACCTGCTTTCTGGCGTGTTACAGTGTCTGTGTAAACAAAATTCAAGTATATACTTTCTCGTTCACAGATATAGACAAAATTTCTAGTGTGCAGGTTTTTGACACCATAAAAATTGTTTGCTTAAGGACAAACTTTGGAGGAATGCACATTTTCCAGTATCTCCTGATTCTTGTCAGGCTGACTACATTACAGAAATTACTTTTTTTGAGATATTTCTGTGGTTCTTTCACCAAAACTTAGGAATCAAAAAAAAAAAAAAGGCATTCAAAATGGGCACAAAATATTTATTTTCAAATATCTCAAGTATTTCTTGAATCTCTGGAAAAGACTTGGGGTTTGTCTGCCTTCAAGTTTAAGCCCTTGGATTTCTCCAGATTTGTGGATGCTATCATTAATACTTAATCATAGCACAGAGCAGCCCTTTTGCCTACTTCCATTGGTTTTTGAGTGTTTTGCCTGCTGCAAGTAAAAACATAAAAATATTAAGAACCAGAAATGAATGTGGAAAAATCCTTGAAAATAAACTAACTCTAATTTAATGCTTTAAATTGTTAGAAATAAGACATATGTAAATGATTTGTTTGTGTTTGTTTAAAGAAGTTCTGTTTAATGTTAATTTAGTGAAATTCAACTGTTGCATAAACTTCTAGGAATTATTTTAGATTCTTAGGAAGATTAATTGGTCTTCTTTTTGGAATGGTACTTGCTTGCTACTTTTTGAAATAAAATAGAAGGGAATGAAACTACATAAAAATGTAAATCCTTCTCAACAGACAAAAGAAAACAAAATATAATGTAAAATGTTTTGGCTGATTTGTTAAAAAATGTTTAATCCTATGCAGCTGTGCAGAATTCAAAGCAATGCAAGTTCCCAAGCACCTTTGTGCACAGCTCCGAGCCCACAGCAACGTGACTCAGTGATTACAGAAGAGCTCCTGACACTTCAGGATATTGTATTATTTTCTGGACAGGACTATGCTCATGCATAGAAATGTAAAAAAGGGGAGGATTGCTAATTAAAATTAGATGTCATGTAGGCTTCCTTGTCTGGCACTACAAGCGCTACAAAAAAAATAACACAGTAGCAAATGGTAAATACACACCTTTGCTGTATGTACTGATTATTTATATATGTGCTTGCATATGTGTTTATAAATATATGAATATGCAACACATACTTATAATTTGTGGTTTTCTAGACCTCAGTAGCGCCTCTGTGACTTTTACACATTATATAGATACAACAGAGTTACTACCTACACAGTTCCATAAGCCTTGTTTTAAGCTAAAATTGGGACAATCAGACCTGAAAGACCAATTTGTTGCAAGATTCTGAAACTCTGTGTCTGTGCAGGAGGGCATGGAAGAGTGGCAGGGAGCACAGAAGGCAGCAGTGGAATCCAGTGGACGTTTCACTTTCTAGAAAAATACACTCTGCTGGTGACATCTCTAGGTTACCCTTCTGCTGATAAAGTGAAAATTCTGAATTGTTCATTAAAGCATTAGTAATCATTACGGTATTACTCTAAAATACCTTAAATTCTAATGAATTTACCATTAGGTGACATGCCTGTGCTAGGAGAATAAATCTGCTGCAAAGCAAGACGCTGAAGCTTCATCTTCAAAATTCTGGGCTACCCCTGGCCATGCAGCTGTCATGTCTCCAGCAATTGCTTCTTTTGTATTCAATTACATCAGTCATCTCACAGACAGAAAGTCTTTTTCATTTTTTCATTTTTTTTCTCTCATGTATATATTGCATGAATTCCACTTTAACATGTTGTTTTAGCTATTAATAAACATTCCACAAAACTTAAAAATTAAAATCAGATGCCTACTTTTTTTCCTTTCCCACTAACAAACTCAAAAATCAAATGTAAGCAGGAGGCAGATACTAAGTTCAGGTCAGATCATTACTCATAGTTGAACAGTGTTGATTGCCAGTGATGCGTGAATTGGTAAGAAATCAACTTACCTTCTCCCTTTCTAGTGAAGACTAAAAGTTTGAGAGTTAAATAAATAAATAATCTTCACTTATGCTTGTTATTTTAAATTAAATTTACTTCATTTGCAGTATAAACTGTGCTGTCATATTTTGAAAAGCTACTTTCTGGCAGAGAGCTAGACTTTTTAGAAAAACAGCTAAAGACTCTGACTCTGCCTGAAAATGATTTTTTTTTTAATAAAAGAAAGGCTGACGCTACCAAAGAAGAGATGGTAGTGAGGCAGATTGTGCAGAGGTTCTCTGTGATACGTGGATTGCCTTCCTTGTTCCAGGAGCAGAACAGTGAGAGCCCAGTCATCTTTGTCTTTCAAGCAAGTGGGACATAGAGATAGGAGTTTCATCCAAGATAAACTCTGCTAAAGAACTACCTCTAGTGTCATTTAAAGCCAAAAAACATATGCACATGCATGGACAGTGGTAATTAAATTTACTAATATTTTTAGGAGGGAACTTTTAAATTCTCTTTTAGACACATTTAAATAATTTTAAATGGTTTTATGCAGATAGGATCAATTTTAAAACATAGGTAATATGAAGTTTTATAATGAATGTTCTGCCTTGAACTGCAATCTCCTGAAAGTAGCAGGCTATTTAGAGAAATAAATCTTGTAGCCAGTGTACAGTTCTGAAGCTGGCTATAGTAGTTTATCACAGAGATTCCCTGACTTTACACATTATCTAAGGTATAATATGAATGCATTAGACTAACTCTTCATTTCAACAATATGATTTTAATTCTCTCTAGATTACACAAGGCTAAAAAGTATTCCAATAGTTACCCTCTTTCTTCTTTTTGGACCACCACTGATCTTTTCAAAGAGTAAATTCTTGCTCTGGAAGGGAAAAAAATAAACCAGCCATCAAATTCATTACACTCTTCTTTTAAAATACTATTTTTGATGTTAAATATTAGCAAGTTTAGAAGGGTGTGCAGTTTTATGGGAAAGATAAAGCACAAATAAATATTTTTATATTCTTGCTAACATGTGAAGTTCTTCAGGAGCATTCACAGCCTTATCAACAATTTAAAAGCCAGTAACAGTAATTTCCCACTATGTTGCACTATGTTATCACCCGTGCTAAGGCAATAAGTGATTCAAGTACATGCTGGTATAATGATACAATCTGAATGCTCCCCATCACATGATACATGGTATAAATACATGTAGACTTTTTTTTAAAAAAAAGGCAGAAGGTAAAAGATAAAAAAAAGCAGGAGGGAGAGGAAGCAGGAGTCCTGCCTCTGGTATATCTTTTTATGCATTTGAGGTGACAGAAGAACAGGAGCAAAAAAATATTTGCTTTATGAGGGATTTTCTAATGCCTTTTAAAAACAGCAATAGGCGTCATTCCTACTGTTTTGTTGTCTTTGCTTATTCCCTTCCAGATATCAACACTTCCCAGTGCAAAGTTCTGTTGAAAGGAGTTCAGTGCCAACTCTTCCTTTGTTTAAGTAGTGCCCTCAATAAAGTTTCTAAAACCCATTTGGTCTATAACGTTTTTAATGGCAAACCTTTTAAAAACTGCCAGAAACATCTTGGCAGAAAAGAAAGTTATGATGATGAGAAAAGAAAAAAGAAAAAAACCCAACACAAAAAAAAACCCCTCTGACCATAGTTTACATAAGTGTATCCACATATTGTTGTATTTCTTATAAGTAGTGAATTCTAATAAAGTCTAGAATAACACACACATGTTCACCACATTTTGTTTCAATTGTATATTATGAAGAAAACCAAACACAAACCCTAACCTGAAAATGGAAGAAGAGAAGAATTACACGTATAAAGCAGAAGACTGTATAAACAAGGCCATTAATTCGGCTATAAACAACTGACCTAACATTGATTATATAAATAGAAAGTGTAATTCTAACGCGAAACAAATTCACCAAACACTTCTACCCTCTCTGCAGCCTTGATATGAGAAAAAACAAACATTTTTGAGTGTTACAATGAAATCTGCCAAAATTGTCTGTTTTGTACTTCTCATGTTCATTAGCCCCAAATTCACAAAGCCTATCTCTTGCCCAACCTCGTTTTTTTCGTCTGAGCTGTGCCAAAAGGGAACAGAGATGAAGTTGGCCAAGAGGGACATTCTTGGCTAGTAATTTATGCAAATTCTCTTCAGGAAAACTTAAATTTAACATTTTAAGGAAACTCACATTTGCATGAATTATTCTCTTTAGGAAACAAAACACCACCAAAGCCTCTCTTTGTAAACTCTTTGACCTTACACTTTTCAGGAGAGGAAAAATAGTGTTTCTGAAATAAAAAGAATTAACTACTGGACCTAACATTTCTGTCACTCAGAAAAATTCCTCACAATTGAACCATTCCTGCTCAAGAATATCATATTTTGTTTAGTCTGCTTGGGAATCTTTTAAGACCATAACTACAGCATTATGTGGAGTACAAAGCAAATAAGGTTATGGAGCATGAGCTAAGAACATATTTGTATGGTAAAAGCAATCCTGAAAATATGTTCCACTGCGTAATGGCCTGATCTCATCAGCCACCAAAATTTGTCTCTGCAGTGCCCATCCTTCACCAAGAGGTTGTTAGGAATGAAGGCACAGAGTTTGTCCAGTTAAAGATATAGCTCATCTGGAGACATGCTGCACGATTTGCTACTTTCCTATCACTCTTGGAGCTTCCTTTGCACCCTCCTGGCTACTTGGATTAGGGTACTACAGGCTGGGATTTGGGTGGGAAAAAAAATCAGAAGTCAAAATGCTTACAACCAACTAACTAATGCCAGAGAGATTTACTCTTTGAAGTATTTCAGACTGCACTGAATCTTCAAGTCAGTATTAATCAGCAATTCTGTAACATGCGCCAGCACAACTATTGAGCAAAACTGAAAAGCATTAGCAAGGTTGCACCCTTTCACGAGGGCTTTTTTTTTTTTTTGAGTCAGGTTCCAGTGTTGCCAGGAATATCAAGCATGACAATTTCTATTACATCAAGCATACTACACTGAATTATACAATCTGTACTGTCTAAAATTGAAGAGAGGGACCAGACCCGTCATAACATATCCTAATAATCACCACTACCATCCAGATATTTAGCAATATCAGTTGGTAAAGACAGATACACTTAGGGCTGCTCACTATAACTGTAGTTGGATTAAAATAAATTCTGAGTGACTAGTTCAGGTTTCTATTAAAATTAGGACGCCACAGACAGTAACTTCTTATCAAGGATTTCACCTAGAATATTTTAAGCCCTGCTTCCCATTTGCCGTTCTTTGTACTGCCTTGGATCCCTCCACTGTGACTGATAAGCAAAACCCACATTATTTCTATGCTTAGAGTGAAACGTCATCCATTGCTTCAGTACAAAGGAGTGTTGCTGAAAAACATAGTTGCTTTTAATTTTCTGTTTGTACTGATACTGGTGTCAGAAAACACAGTTAACTTCCCTTCTCTTTTCAACCCCTACATGTGGTACTGGTTAACACCTTGGGTTTCAATAAATAACAACTTACATATAAGTGGTTTTTAGATTTGTATTGTAAATTGTATATTGTAAATGGTCTTTGTGAAAGTCTTTCTGGATGCCAACAACACGTCTTCAAACCATCTAAAGAGACAAGTTGCAAAAAAGGCAGACTCAAATGCAAAATATCTGTGTCCTGCAAGGAAAAGTCTGAACCGAGGGGAAAAAAACCCTGAAATCTTAGAAACTACACTTGTACACTGGGGTAGCAACCTCCAAAAGTCCCTCATCTTACTATTCCCACTGTCGCCTCTATGTTTTCCACATATGAGGAGAAAAAAAAAGAGTCTTAGGGGCTGGGGATGAGAGTATAAGCTGTGCATCTCACTCTATAAACAGAATCTGTTCCAGAGACTTCCCACAGGTCAGCATATTAACATATGGGGAGTTGTTCCAAAGACAAAAAATTCTTCCTCTTTCTTCCCACTCCTAACCCAGTGCACATTTATCATGATTTACATATTTATATTTTCATATGTATTAGCAGTATTTACACATAATATTTAACATCTACATGGAACCATACACTTTGCTGCATGAGACAGCTTCTAGACTTGCTTGACTTATAAAGTGTGTCTGTTATTCACAGAGTACTGCAGAGGTCTCGTACTTTGCAAGCATGACAGTCTATCATGAAAACAAACCAACCAACTTGTTTCTGTCCAATTAAGACAAGCAGGTTTTTTTTCCTGACCTGCTAATGCAAGTTGGGTTTTACTGTTGTTATGCTAAGGAATGCATGTTGGGTCCTGGAAAGGACAAGTCACTGGGAACTGTAACAGTGCCTAAACTGCACTGTGGAAGGAAAAGGCAGGAGAGAAGCTCTCCCAGGAACACATGGCAGCCCACATGGGTCCAGGAGACACGCTTGCTCTGAAGGCTTTAGATAGTGATGACAGCCTTGCACCTACAGGGCGTGTGCCAGCAGGAGCTGGTGGAAACACAGTCTGCAAGTAGACAGCCATCACAGACCTAGTGGTGTTTAGTCCTAGGCTCTTCGACACAAGAAACAGGAACAAGCAGTTGGTGGGCAGAGGGAATTTTGGTGGTCGGGGGCAGTGGGAGGATTGGATGCACACAGTTACCAGCTGGGCAGCCCACAGCCAGCTGCGCTGGTCATTTACAACCTAATGCAGATGACAGTGACTGACCTAAAAGATCTGATCTCCTTCTTTTATCAAGTCTCAAACAAATAATTTTTAGAGTGCTTCTCTGATTTTTCCAGAGAGTTAAAAATAACAAAACCAGTCATAAAAAGATACCACTGTATTTATATTTTTAATATGTAATAATATACAATGAGGAGGTAATGGAGGCAATTCTCCTAGATGTCGGCAGAGCATTTGCTCATGCACATGACCAGCTGTTTCATCTCTAATTAGAAAGATCTGGAGTTGGCTAAGTTGCAGTTAGATGTGATTACTATTTAGTACCTAAGAGTCTGTTTTAATCCATGCATGAGCAGCTTTTTCCCCTGAATTAGTAGTGATGGATGGAGATATGAAAAAAGTCCAGGATTCACTAATGATTAACTACCATTTATTACGTATATATGTTGCTAATGACAACACGCTTGACTCTAAAATAGTACTAGATGCCAAAAATTTAGTGCAAAAAAGAAGTGCTTTTATAGTCTTCAAAATAGTATTATGAAGGTAAAGTACTTATGAATAATAAGAAAATTAACAGCCTTATCTGGCATAAATAAGAAAGTTCACCATCTAGTGTTTTTAGAGGAAAACCTTTGATGATAATTACTGACACAAGTCTACAAAATTTGGATTTTTGGCATGATTCTCTCCAGAAATTTAGCACTCACATAAGTAATTAAGACTATAAATCTTACACTGGCTTGATTATGAATGATGAATTATTGTCTCACAATTACAGCAGGAGAAGAGGCTGCCAAACATGTCCATTTATCGATATATGCTTACAAAGCACTGGTTTAGGGCAATCTTTTTACAAAAATGTAAAATGAGATTTCATTATTTGCTCTAGAAGCATAAATTATGATCATTGTTATTGTTTTCCTGGCGCCTGAAAATGGATTTGGGATTGGACATTTTAACTGATGTAATCTAAGATTAAGTGGCAGAGCTTTCTTTGGAGCCTTTAGCCTGCAGAAATAGTCTAGCTGCAGTTATTATAGTCTTTGCATGCTTAGAACAAGATTTTTGCCCTTAGTGTATCTCACTGTATTTATTATATGTGACGTGTCAAATAGATTTTCAATATAGTGCACAACCTGAGCAGAGGAAGAAGCAGCATCAAGTACTCAAAAATCCTTAAGGCAGAGAGGACTCCTTAGAGCAAGCTGTCTGGTCCTAGATTTTTTTAAGGTGTTTAGGGATTGCTGCACTCCATCTTTTTTTTTCTTGCTATTTTTTATCTAAGTAGCTGAACAATGAATAGTCACTGAACCTGGATATTCTTTTGGATTAGGGTCCTGTTATGTTTTGAAATCTTGTCCTAAGATCTGCACTAATTTTGGTTACTTATTCACTGTAGTTTGAAATGTGGTTTGTTGCATTTATCAAGTACATACACAGCTGTCATGCTTTGGGACAGGTAATAAAACAAGGATTTCTACTTTCTATTTTTCTGGGGTGTGTATCAATCACAAGCACTATTTCTGTATTTTTCAGGGCAAGTTCACCTTTTTTGAGCGGTTTCCCTTAGGGTGATATTTTTTCCAGAAATAAGGACAATATATTCCTTGTGGTTTCATAGTATCACACCCAGCAGACAATATCCAGTTTCACATGCAAAAAAATAAGCAAGAAGCATGTACTCACCCACTTGCCCACGTTGGGGTAGTCATGCTCTGGATCAAAAAGGTGTTGGTGCAGCTGGTATTCCCTGCTGAACTCTGCTGTGTCAGGGGTGTTTTCTAGACACCCATCATCAACTGCAAAAGTATGTTAGAAAGCAGTGAGTACTTAGTAGCTTTGAAACACACAATATGTGCCACATTAGTCATCACATTTCTTAAATGCAATCATGCAGTTAAAAAAAATAAAGAATGGGATGACTAGAAAATACCAGTTTTCTTTTCTTTTGAAATGAATTTGTCAGGATGTATTTAATTTAAAAAAACCCAAAACCTTGCAACCTAATGAAACTTCAAAACTAAACAAAATTTATTTTCCAAGCTCTCCTCCTCCTTTTTGTTTTTCTTTTCATTATTGCACTGATTTTATGTAGAACTGTGTCCCGTTCTTATTCAGAAGGGATCTTTTTTTCTTTTTTAAATCCTCACAGGTAGTTTTAGAAATGGTTTAGGCAATGGTAAAACACTGCTGTGAACAAAGACTGAATTTCCTTCACTGAGCAGCTCTTCATGGAGCTCCATTTCTGGTTTGCTACTTTGTTAAAATTGGCTGCAAATCATTTATGTATCATAAGATCTCCTAAAAATGCAATGTTGCAGAAGTTTTATGATGAAGACATTTCTGCAGATTGGTAACTAGTCTGATTGGTCTAGAAACCTCCTTTAACCACAATGGATGGTTCTGTAGACAGTGTCACGTCAAGATAATACCCATTTAAAAATCAACTTACAGTCTTTTTACCAAAACAAGTTATCTTTAGATTAAACAAAGTTTCAGCAACTTGGGGCCAGAGTATTTTTTAGACAGTCTGCTCCTGGAGCTCCCTCTGCTTTGCCAGCATGGGGAGCTTGCAGTCCAAGTTCTTCTCAGACACACCAAAGAAGATCCTTCCAGCCAGGGCATGATGCTGCTGGGCATCCAAGCAGCTACATCTGCCAGAACACAGGCACTCTGGAGCACACACCTGTGGACTTTCCTTTTGTCCTTGTGTGTCATCATGTGAAAAGATTTGCAGATGGATTATTTTTTTCTCTTAGATGTGGGAAACAATAAAGGCTTGACTTAAAATTGAGTTGATGTAATGACCTGAGGAGGTTATTCTGAGTTCAACAGATCCTGCTTTCCCTATTTGCTCCATAGGATGGGGAAAAAAAATTAAGTTGCCAACAGAAAACAGGGGAAAACTATATATATTGGTTAAGTAACTCAGATATCATTAAAGCACTTAAAAATTATTTCAGTCCCAGCAGGGACAAGGTTATCTCAAGAGAGAAACAGGTGACAAGAGAAGTGTGGTGAATCTTCTCAGAGCATGTGTGTCTTTTGCTAGAAAACACAAAGGGCAGCTGGACATATGTGTGCCCTCTGTGACTGCTAATCTAAAAGTCTTCAAGCTCAAGTGCTCCAGGCTTATGTATTCCTGCTGTGGAATGTGCATATGTAGACAGTGACTGGAAAAATTGTTTTCCATTAAGCAAATCCACAGACCTGATTGAGGAAGGCCTCTGGTAATTTGTATGCATAATACAGTCAGCACTTGAATTTCCATTTAAGGCTCTGAAAAACATTTTACTCTAATCCTAGTAGATACTATCTTCACTCACAGCATACCTATGACAGAGCCATTTATCTGAGCAGGCAGCATTTCCCTTAGAATTCCCCCTGTGTTCAGATCTGACTGTATTAGCTTAGCTAACAACTATTATTTTGCCTAAGAAAGAAAAATTGGAGGGATTTTCAAAGGCATTTCCCTGGATGCCATGTTTCTAATTTATTTATCTAATCACTAACAGAAGTCTAATGGGCAAGCACAGAAGATAGAAAGTCTGTGTGTGTGCTTGTGTGTGTGAGAAAACTTAAACCCATCATTTGCAACCTGTCAAACAGCTATACTGAAAAAATTAGAAGAGGAGGTATTATTTCAGAAGAGATGTAGGCATCATCACCAAATGGGCTGTAATAGAAAACAGTAAGGAAGGGCTATTTGAAATTTTGTCAAATTTTTGAATGAAATGTAAAAATACTTCACAAAACTTTTCATGACAAATATTATTTTTGATGAATTCTAAGCTACTTAGAACATTTTTAAACAAGAATACAGACAACTGTTCTGCATTATCCAAATAACATAAAAGAAGACTAAACAGAAAACATTTTTAAAGGATATCTTAGCTCACAAATAAAAAATGAGAGAAAAATAGAGTGCTCGTTCCCAGTTCGAGCTCCCAAGGCAGCCAATGAGTGTTTTACTACTACTTTCAGTACTGGAAGTCACTCCTTGGCTCAAATAACAGGAAAAAGATCAATTCTCTTAGAGTATGTCTATATTATGCACATGCAGTGCTGCTTTAGTGATCCTTCAGCACTAGCCACCTGCAGGGCTCGGTACATGTGCAATTGCGAGTTGAGGGACACACTGGCTGTCTGGGGCACCTCTCTGGCACTCAGAGGCTGCACTGCTCCTCTGCCAGAGTGAGCCTGCATGCAACATCTTGGGGTACATCCACATAGTTCTCCATTTCTTGGCAGAGAGGCACCCTCAGTGAGCTATAAAGACACATGGATTGGAGCCAAGGTATCTTAAATATTGACTCATGGTCTGGATTGGAGATCTGGGCAGACAGTTTCATTCCTCTTGGCACAGTGAAAGTCTCTAAAATAATGGACTGTACAGAATGATAACTTTTTTCAGGGGTCAGCCTGAAAATAAAGTCCCTTGGGAACAAGATGCTATCATAAATCTCACTATCTTCTACTCTGAGGTCAATATCATTTTTTTCACATGACCTTCTCCAGCAGTCATATATCAATACAGAAGGTGCACATATTAAAAAAAAAAACAACAAGCAAGCTCATCTAAAAACACTAAAACACCCAGTTGCTCAACAGTTATACTCCTGGGGTGGAGGATGAAAGAAAACACTCATTGCTGATTTAAGTGTCATACAGCGCTGAAAGACTGGAAGATGTAGAGTGAAGACAGAGGTACAAAGGCTACAGTCAAATTACCTGTTTTTCCAATAGGGCAGGGATTTGGAGGGTCAGGATAGCCTTGATCTTCACTGAAATCCTTTGGTACGTTATCACCTGTCAGCTCAGCCACAATGTTTGGGATATTACCATAAGGACCCAAGTGCTGGAGACCCTCATGTGCACCACCTAGCAAAGACAATTTATACACACTGTCTTTTTACAAGATTAAAACTGTAAGTGCTTTAGCTGTTTCAAGTAATCCAGACTTCTACTTAAGATATATGTATCTCTCTCTGAGATGTAATTGTTTTAGAGACAGATCCAAGTTTAGATTTTAAGCATCTCTTTTAGAAATGTAACCATGTGACCTAAATCCAGTAACTTAGATAATGAAAAACGAAACTAGGAAACAAAATCATCCACATATTATTATTCTTAGGGTTGTTTTTTTCCTTACTGCTGATGCTTTTGAGAAAGCACGCAGGATCACTCTTGAGGAGAAAAGACAACACAGAAAGAATCGTGCCTTGCAGAATATACCACCTAAGGAGTCTTTCTGCTGTGCCTTTTGTAACCGGACGTGTCTATCTCGTATTGGCCTTTTTAGCCACCAGCGCGCTTGTAACAAGCGTGGGTAGAGCCCTTCCCAAATCTTCATTCGCGAAGCCTAGCCATGATGTTTTCTTCCTTAACAATGAAAGTTTTAGGCAAAAAAAATGCAAAGAAAAACGAACAGGAGACAATAATGAAACTTGATACATTTGCTGCACAATCATCTTCAGTCACTGATACTGTTCACTGTAGGAACTAATAATAGAAGATATACCAAGACAGCATCACAGCAAGAAGACAAAGTTAATGACACTGTAGAAAAAAATAACACTATCTGCACAGCCTAGAAATACATTAATAAATTAAGTCCCAAGGGGACTTAGGGCGTTAAGGTCCTTGGGGACCCAGAGTATTTTAGCAAATTTGGTTGTATACATCTCGAAAAATTATTTTTAATTCAAATCAATTCTTAAATGTAAACTTCCATTTCCTGCAGTAATGGTGAAAAGTGATGAAGAGTCCCTGTTGTTGATGGGAATTCTTATGCATGTATACATACACAGTAGTCAATTTAGTACAAAACATCACATTCAGCGACTTCTACACCTTTACTTAACAGATCAGTTCTAGATGCAGGCTTTTATATTTGCCCCGTGGGACTCGGATCACCATCACTGCAGGGTTACAACAGCAGCGTGCAGCAGGTTTTATAACTCAGTGGCAGAGGACACAATGATGGGCCCGCTGTTCTTGGGTAAATGCACACAGAAGTGGTTTGCTATGGCCTTCTTACACATATCTCAGCTGAGTGCCTTGCCTTTGACAAGTAGGGTCTTTCACTAAAGATTTGGGAAACAAGCTCAGGCCACTCCCTCTATATGCCTCTCTACAAATATTTATCTGCCCCAGATCTTTTCTGCACGCTTTGTTGACCAAATGTATCCACAGGCTAAACCCCAGCTGCTTGTGGAGTTTTCTAAATGCAGTTATATATTATTCTTTTGAATTTCAGACAAATAAAAAGTTAGTTTCAAGCATGTTCTTTTTCCCTGACATAAGACAGCCACCACACACACTCCAGCAACTGAGATGGTTGTGTGACAGCAGCACAATATTTTTTTAAAACCCTATATAAAGAGGGCTAACAACATGCAGTCAACATATGAATTCCACTAACAATGAATGAGAGGAAAAGGAATTTGATCAATTGGAAAATATGAGTTAAAGCGTGAATGCAGACATAACTGTTTGGGTAAATAGCATAATCACCATATTATCACCAAATAGTCTTATTTTCAATTAATATATTTTTCATAGATCCAGAAGACGGGAATAAAGCCTCTGAACATGAAAGCTGCTCCAAAGGAATCATTCAAGTACTCCTGTCCCAAACTACAAATAAACATGACCAGTCTAAATCATCTTTTATACAGCTAAACACTGTAAGCTAACATAATCACTTGCAAAAATTGCAAACATAAGGCAGCTGAATACAAAACACGAATTTTGTATTCCTTTTTCCATTTAAAAGTGGTAGTTGAGCCAAATTGTCTATATTTGGTAAATAATCAGTTGGACGTTTGCTACCAGAAACAAGTTAGTCTATAAGCTTATATATTTTTATTTTATTTTCACAACCATCTAAAATCTAATCAATGTGCTAATTTTCCCCCTTAGTACAAGTCTCTTACTCTGTAACACAGTGTAGCAGAAAAGTTTTACAGATATATAACAAACATAAAAGTACCCCTATAAAAAATTTACGTCTCTGTTATATGGGGCTTTCATTTGTAGCTGACCGTGAGACACAGCACTAAAAGCAGAATAGCATTATACACACTATGAACTTTATTATACATTTACAGTCCATAGTCCATACAAAGATGATGCTTGGAACACAATAATGTTACGGTGATAAGGTTAAAAAGTGTATAACATACATGCAACCTAATTTAATTTAATATAATGTCTAATGTATAGCATAACATTTCCCTTTTGTACTGATTTCCTTCACATAAAGATTGATTACATATATGTACTTAAAAGCATCAGTTTATGATTCTGCTGTAAACTACAGACCCGCATAATCAATACGTGTTTGAACATCCTGTATACAATGTGGTCCACTATGGGACAATCCATCAGATAGAAGCCTATCTATGCTTGTATGTGGTGCAGACCTCTTGGCACCAAAGCTCCATCCATAAAGAAAACAGAGGTACTTAGCAGGCTCCAGTGTGCTATATATACATGTAAGTTTAAACCAACTGCCAAGAATTCCCTTGAGTGAGTACAAACCAATCTTTTTATATTAATAAAAAGAATTGTTTCCTTTAGGTATAAATGTCCAGGATCATTTCAGGGTTTTTCCTTTCCTCTCTTTCCAAAAGAGCTGGAGACAATAGCACCTGCTCTGGTGCCATAATTTAGCACACTTGAGTGATTTAATAGCATCAGCAAAACTCATTCCTTATAATCTTTGATAAATAGTGCACTCAGCAAAGACTACAATAATAAAAATGAAATGCTATGGATATACCAAATAGGAGTATTATGTACAGTAACTCTCAAGCTGCATTAGTTTTGGTATTATAACATTACTGATTTGAAGAAACTTATTGGGATTAAATACATTGCAGCTACCAAGTCAAAATATTGTGATACAAACATACACAGTCAGCTACAAAAATAGCACAAGATGGGTCTCTTGAACCTTCAGGGAGAGTCTGAAAGAAAAAGACAAGACAACTAAATATTGAGGAACTTTTCATAATTTCCTATCCAAAGAAACCATGAGAGACACCATTGTTAAATTATTCAAACCTAGACTAGCAAAAATCCAGAATAGTACAGACAAACACTCTTGTATTGAGAAAGGATGGGCTAGATATTTTTCCCATCTCTCCTTACTCCTCATATGAACAGGCTTTTCCGTGCCACATACTAGCAGAAAAAATCCCTCCAAAATAATCAGCTTCCTTTCAAGTACAGGATTTCTGTGTAAGTAGGTATTTTACATTCCTACAGGATAAATTAGAAGCTTAGGTCTCTTGGGAGGAGATCAGTATCGTCTTAAGTAAGCTTTGGATTCCACTTAAAATATATGCATATATGTTATCAGCTGGCACTGGTCTGGAACTGTTGCTGGGTGGAAAACAATACTGGAACAATGCCTTATCTTTCTTATAATTCTGGAAAAGTATTTAATTACCTCATCAACTGTTGGTATCATCTCAATTAGAGATACTTGGAATGATTAAAAATTTAAAGTGCATACATTTCAGCTCATTTCTTTGCAGGGGCAATACTGTCTGTATGGGTCTCCCACCCATACAAACAACTTAACCACTCAATTCTTGGAGGGGAAAAGAAAAAAAATAAAAGGAAAGGAAACACAACAAGCAACTAGTTTCTTGCAAGTATTGAATATTCCCCTGACCAAACACATCCAATGGAAATGCTGTTAGTCTGCTGAAGTTCTAGCTACTGGTACCTGTCTGTTGGTAGCGTAAAGCATAGCTGAAACAAATCTGCTGTTGGGAGCAATCCTCCACATCAAATACAAACAGGCAATGCTGTCCTTCAGAAAAGTCAGTTCAAGAAAGCCAATGAGAATGGATTTTCAAAAGTGTAAAATTACTGCAAAACATTTAAAGAGAAATAATGGGATGAATTTCCCTTTCAGTCTGATTGAAGCCATTTCCCACGTAACAGTGAAGATAGGGTTACCCCACTTACAAATTCAGAAAAGAGGTAGTTTGGTCAATCTTAACAAGGAGATACAAAATAGAAAGGATCACGGTATCTGTTGTGAGCAAATAAATCCAAGATCCCAAATTAAAGCCTCTTACTTTAGAGAGTCATACTAGATGCCTTAGTCTTAGTGTCCAAGCCCCTCCAAGGTGCACAGAGGAGTATTCTCCCTGAGAAGAACTGCGCCTCTTATGATCTCGACCTAACTCCAAGCAAATATGAGCTGCAAGAGAAGCCTGCTACACCTTATCCCATTTGCCTCAGATTTCTGAGGGAGCAAATAAGATTATCAATCAGAGATGCAATACCATCTTCGCTACTTTGCAAAATCTTTTGTTAATCTGGACTATTTGTTCTATGTACTGAGATTGATTAAGCACAGGAAATGAGAAGCACTGAAAAAAAATCTAAATTAACACATTTTGACTACTCCACAGAAGCTGCTAAATAAGAGAATAGGGAAGGAGAAAAAGCATAGGAGAACAAAGAATGGAAAAATACAGACCTAGCCAACTTCCTTAACCATTCAAGAGCATGCCTCAGGAAACCCAAAAACACTACAGCTATACATGCTCAGGCATCCCAGATTCCAGAGTCAGCTTGTCTTCTTCTTAATGACACAAAGTTTCTTGAAACTATGAAGACTAATTTTCTTTTTCTCTGCAGAGGGACAAATTCCTTTCAATGTGTTTTCTAAAGCCTTAAGCACACACACCATACAATTACTGACCTTGCTTTCAGTGAAAAATTCAATTTTATCCCATATTTTAATTACAAACAGTACAAATATTTAAGATATGAAAGGCTTTTATTGTGAAATGGTTAGGACCAAAGTAATGCCCATGCCACTCACAATAAATTTATAACAGTAGCTTATATGT